AAAAATTATGGATATCACATTTATTTAGCAAATATAATGGTGCACAAGTTGAGCCTCTAATTAGACATAACTAAAAAAAATAATTGGTTGTGTAGCTGCAAATGGAACACCATGTTTGAACATTACATGAAGGGACGCATTTTCAAATTTAGATGCTAACTTGCACTTACAACTAAAATATACAGAACATTTACATGTGCAAATACATGTTGTATTTATATGCACAACCAGGCAACTAGCTAGCTAGCTGATTTGCATGTGGTGTCACTTAATCTGCACACCCAAATGCAAGGCTTGTGCTCACAGAATTTAGTAACACAGTTTCACAGGCTGGTTGAAGATTTGACTCTAGTTACAATATGACTTTTCTATATGTAAAACATTGATGCACAAAACCCCCAAACCCTGTTTTAAAGTTAGACTAAAAGGTTTACTTATGTTCCCAATGAAAGCCTTAACTCTTTTTTTGGTGATTTTTCTGTGTTTAATATAACCTATTTGGTCAATTCTTGTAGATCTGATAAAATGCTTGCTTGTTACTTATGTGTGTGCTTTAATATTTATACTTACAGTGGGGAACATATACTTAAACTGCAGACTTGTACTATATAGAGCAGGGGCGGGCAATTATTTTGGGTGGAGGGCCGCTTACCCAGTTTGGGCAGGCTGTTGAGGGCCGCATGGGTAGCCCTGCCCTTTGACAGGTGCCCCGCCCCCTGGTCACCATCTTGGGACCAATGTCCCAGGGCCAGCACTGGTGGGGCCCAAACCAGGGCACAGTCTGGCAGAGGTCTGTGGAGCTGGGCTGGGCTGCATCAGCAGGGAGAGAGGGGAGCTGGCCCGGCTCTATAGAGCCCCTGCTGACTGGGACCCCACGCTCCTGCCACCCTGCTCTGTGCCCCGCTGGTGCTGGCCCCAGGACACCGGTGCGGGCCCCATGCTCCTGCTGGCTCCCGCACCTGCTCACACTCAGTGCCCCCCAGCCCCGTGGTACAGGCAGGGGGCAGCACACAGCCCCAACTCCCTGCTTGCTGGCAGGGAAGAAGCTGGTGCTGAGCGTGGGGAAAAGCGGCCCTTTGCCCACCCCATGGCGGGTGCTCCCTGCTTCAGGTGCTCACAGCCCATGCAGGGCTGTCTGGAGTAGGCACAGGCAGCCCCATGTGGGCTGCAAGCAGCTACAGCATGGGGCACTGGCCATGGGGCGAGTGAGGGGCTGCTTTTCCCTGCACTCAGCACCAGCTTGTAACCCGGCCCTGCTGCCAGCCTGGGCTCTGCGCTGGCTCCAGGCTCACCCATCAGCAGCAGCAGCTGCGGCCCCCAAGCTTGCCATGCTGGGCAGTGTTGACTGCTGCTGGCCACCCAGAGCTCGCGCGCTGGGCAGCCCAGAGGCGGTGGTGGCAAACACTGCCCAGCATGGCAAGCTTGGGGGCCGCAGCTGCTGCTGCTGATGGGTGAGCCTGGAGCCAGCATGGGGCCCAGGCTGGGAGTGGGGCCAGGTTACAAGGTGGTGCTGAGCACGGGGAGGGGAAGTAGCCCCTCACTTTTCTGCACTTTGCCCACGCTCAGCTTTTCCCTGGGGCCACTTTTCCCCGGGGTCCTCCCCTCCCCCCCCCCCACCTTACCTGCGGTTCCAGCACAGGGCAGCCATGTGGTCCCAGGCCAGAAGCCCCTGCTGGGTCTTCTGGCCGGGGGGGCAGGGCCAAGTGGGCCCTGCTGTTGTGGGAGTCCGCCGGGCTTCCTCTGGGTCCTGCTGCCCTTGGTTCCTGTTGTTTTTGACAGGAACCAAGGGCAGATAAATATTAATTTTCTAAATGTTTTAGGGGCCCCATGGGCTGGATAGAATGGCCTTGCAGGCTGGATCTCACCCACAGGCCATATTTTGCCCACCCCTGATATAGAGAGAGAAACTAGCTGGCTTACTGGAAGCAGTCTAACTTTAGCAACACAGAGTTCTGTGCAGGAAGCAGGGTACCTTAGACATTGCTTTAATGATTTAAGATATACCTCAAAGGGAAGAAATGACTTGGCTTGCAATTTTTTCTTAGTTATGATGTATAAAGTTATCCTGAACTACTTTACTGAAGTTATTTCAGGCTTGTTTTTTACCTAAGGCATGTCAAAGCTGGTTTTCCCAATTGCATTGCTTGCCTATCTTTGAGGAATCAGGTGGCTAGGGAGGTCTCTGAGCCTTTGTATAATGGAGTTGATCATAAATCTTTAATATTTCCTCAGTCCTTTATATGGAGTGGCACAGGCCTTAAAATAAAGTTTCAAACAGTCCAAATAAAAAACTCTTCCCTTTTAAATTAATCAGTTTTTACTTTCATGTTTTCTTTAACATCTACCAGTGTTTCAGAAATTCAGTCTTCTATCAAAAACAAAGTATGTAAAACTTGAATCTCCTCTGTAAAACAGTCTGATTTAGAAACAAAACCCAATGTTTCTCATGTCACGCTTATGTATTGGATAGAGGAAAAACTGCACAACCCAATTGTTTTTTATTAGTATTTCACTTCTAACTCAGTGCCTTCTTGCTAATTGGGTTTTTATAAACACTTTAAGAACCATTTTTCAGAAAAGCCTTAGCCTGCCAGTGATTTCTGAACACAGTTTTGCATGTTCAATTTGCTTCTGCGCAAAAATCAGAGTGATTTATTTTTGGGGACTGAAAAGGCAGCACAGCACGGATAGGGCAGGGAGCAGAAAGCAGAGCAGCAGATTGGGCAGAGGAAAGGGATCAGAGTGGTATTATTCAGGGAGGGCACAGGGCTTAATTTGTGGTAGGGGGCAAAAAAGGTTGGCCCCCACTGGTTTAAAGGATGATATAAGGATTGTGCAGCACAGAGGGGCGGGATAATCATAAATTTCATGATGATCTCTGACTGAGACTGACTTAGGCCATGGAGAGGCGTTGCATTTGTAGTACTAAATACAGCTTTGTAGTGCTACAAAAAGTGAGCCTACAGTCATTCAAGCTGTTTGTAGCACTACAAAGAGGCCAAATGCGTTACAAAATGATACCTCTCAGTAGAACTACATGTAATGCTTACATATACTGTCAGTTAGATATAGGGCTATGGTAGTCTGTAGGACCCCCAGCATCCCACAGTCCTCGTCTCTCTTCATGCCCTCCCCCGCACCAAGGCAAAGGGAGGGAAAGGGACCATCTGGTCTCACTCTACCCATGCCTGAGCTGGCAATTAGACTGAATAGATGGCTCCAGAGGGGTCTTGAGCCATGTGTCAACTCCACTCCCAGGACCTCTGTCTTGGGAAAGCCTGTGCATTGCCCTGAGGCACGTACTCAGACTCCTTCTGAGCTGATGTCTCTGCCTAATTGCCAGCTTGGGCATAGTATGAGTAGGAGCATGGGGGTGGCATTTATTTCTTAGTGCCAATTCCAGGCTCAGAAGGGAAGTGGTAAAGACATGGCTTTCACGTGCAACAAACTCATGTGAGTAACTCTGTGCACCATTTGTGTGTAGACAAAGTGACCAGGTTTTATAAACTGGGTGCTTTCTGTTGGGTCAAGCCATAGATAAGACCCAAACATGCCAAGAAGCTCCTCGGAGCTGCTGAGGAATCTCAACTCCTTGGCCACTGATCTGAGTCATAGGTAAAGCTGGTCTTTACCTTCACTGACTCTGCCTGTAACACACAGATTTCACTGTGCAGGTGTATGCATTGCACTCTATTTGCTTTGTATACCTTGACGATGCAGGTATTTAACCATACTAGTTTTAAATAGCCAAAGGCACTAGGTCACTGTATAGACTAACAGCCTGCATTGTGATATCTTCTAATTCAAGGTAGTTTTAAGACTTACAGGAGTGAAAAAAACACCTAATAACTATCCTGTAAGTTTAAAAAAAAACTTGCTAAGTCTTTGAAGGCAAAATTTTTGACTGAAAATCTTATTGCTGAGCTAAGGAGCTAAAAGTTTGTAAAGGAAATTCTAGCATAAAAAGTATCTGCAACAGTGATAGCCTGTAATGCTCCTTTAAATTACTTTTAAGGCTGATTGTAGTGAAGAGAAAGCTTCTCTAAAACACCTCTTCAAATACTGACTGAATATATGTACTAGCCTGGATAAACTGGGACAGTATGTACATATTTTTGGATGCCCTGGCAAAAATCCCCTAAAGGGCAAACACCATGAAACATGATTTATAAGCTCCTGAAGTAAAATAATATAATCAAGGTAAGCTAACAGTTGTTCTTCCACACTTGGCCCACTCTTTGCATGGTGTAGCCAGGGAGATAGCTGGTGAGTCAGAAAACATTATCTTCATGGAGTTGGGATCAGATTCACACTGTTCATCATCTGGCAGAATAGGGTCATGGAAAGTGGTAGACTTGGCCCACAACAGTATTAAGATGAAAAAAGAAGCTTGAGAGAATTCAAATGAAATCTGTCAAAAGGGAGCTGGACTGAATGAAGTAGCTGTTTCAATTTTCTCTTTTGAGAGAAAGCACAATGGCAGCACTGACGGATCAACAGGAAATCTGAGGGCAGGCAAAAAACTGTACATGATATATACACAGACACTTTTCCTTTCCCTATATGACATACTTCTGCACGTAGAGCCGCCTTCTTACGTTTGCTCAAGCAGCACAAAGCATTTGGAGTCCCAGAAAATCCAGTTCCTCCCCTCGAAATTTCCCTCTTCTGGGCAGAATCCTTCCCTTGAGCTGCCCTGCCTAGTCCCAAAATAGGAGTTATTCCCAGTGGAAAGAGAGTGTGTCCAGTGCTTCTGAATGACTCCATGATATCCACCTGTCCCTTGAGATTGTTGACAGTCAAGCATATGAAGCTGCTGTGATTTGCCCCAAGAGCGACGTAGAAGTGGCCTATAGCCGCACCTCCCAGTTCTGTACCAAGCACAGCTTAGTCAGACCAGAGAATCAGGGCCCTCTGTGTTTTATATTACATAAAGATACACAGTCATGTGCATATGTCCTCACACAAATCCAAATTAATCCATTCACCTTGTGAATTTTCACAGCATCATTTATTCTAAAAAAAGAGTAAGAGCTTCAAGGAAAGCTGCTTCGCAGCGATCCTGTGTGCACAGCACATAAACCAGAACATTAAATATTGGCTTAAATTAAGTGTAAATTTAAAAATAGACTCACGCAAACAAACATAAATTTCAGATCAACATCAGAACATACAGTCGTAGGAAGTGCATTGCTCTACCTAATGCAGCTCTTTGTTCCCCTGGATACACTGGTGCAATGGGTACAGGTCTACTGATTCCAGTTCAGCATCAAGATGCACAGGCTATTCAGCAAGAAAAGCATGACCTCCAGCATACAAAGCTCCATGTTCACATTTTCTTTTTTTCCCCCCTTTCACAACAGAAAATGAAAGCCAACATAGTACATTAGTTGCTCCTGCAAAGCATCCGAGGTGATGAAATTCACTTGGAAAACACAATTGACAAAAGCACTAAAAATAAACAATTCTAGCCAACTTGTGACCACTCACAGCCAAGATGGATAACAAAAGGAATTAAACATGTCTTGGATCTAGCATCACAAAACCTTGCTCCATTTTTTTCTGAGATCAGAAACTGTAAAGGAAGATTTAACTAAGAGTTTTTTGGTGAGGTTTTCTTTCCCTGCACTTGGAAAACCTAGCCACCAGGGGAGGGATCATTTTTGTTTTCTTTCTTATGTATCCTTCGTCATCACTGTTATCATTGCATCTCATAACAGAGTCACCTGACCTCTTTAAAAATTGGTGCCAGGAACAAACACAGAATAGGAAGCTCAGCCCTTAATGAGGAGAGGAAATGCAAAAGGTAATAACTATTTGGTGTCATATGGCACCAAATAAGACTACATAAGCAGATACCTATGGTCAGAGAAAAGGGCAGGGAGTCAGATGTGATCGTAACTTGGTCTCTGGGGCTGTCTCCCCCTGTGCAAACAAGCGAAGGAGGGCTGACAGGACAGATCCAGAAAGAGACCTGGGAAAGCAGCAGCAGCAGCTGTCCATTTAGCCCATCCTAGCTTTAGGAATCTCTTGGCCCACCTGGCAAAGGACCACGGAAAGGAGACTTCCCACCACTCTTGTTGGCATTCCCAATCTGGCTTCCTAAATGTGTGTATCAAACTCCTTAAACACCTGTCTGTGCTCTCCTGGCCAGGCTGTTCCTGCTCGCAGTAATGCTCCTCAGAGTCATTCTCTGTGCTATCCCTACACCCACCCAGGCCTTTTTCTAGATATATTTCCCCAGCCCCCTCAGTTTGTTTTTCCAAACATCCCGCTTGATGCCACGGAGAGACCAAGCCTAAGTTGGACCTCCCTTCCCATGGAGCCAGAGGTTTCTACTCATGAAGTCCTGGCCAATCTCCTTCTATAGTCACATGAGTCCCAACCATTCTTCCTGAAGATTATATTTGTAAGGGTTTCTGCTCTTACAGGGCCAAACCCTCAATTATGTTAGGGTTTGTGACACCTTCTCTTAAAGGGGCTCGGACTCTGTTCCACAGATAACACTGGGGGAGTTCAAACGGTTTCTCTGAATCAGCAGAGGTGCTCATCATGGGCAGCTCTTTCTCCTTGGCTTTGTGCAGGACTTGTTCCTATGTGGTATCCGGCACTGTCTCCCTAGTCTTCAATTCCTTTGGGGCTTCATTACAACTGATGATCCATTGGTGTATACTGTGTACAGGTTGAGATAATTCACCGTGATGCAGGCTGGCAACATTGAAAACTTTCAAACCAAACCGCTTGCTTTCACAGCAAAAAGTGCTTTACAAAAAGAAAGTGTTCTCACAGGATATCTTAAGGATTCCAAAAATAGCACTCTTGGGAGGGAGGGGAAGGGAACACACTTTATTTGGCTTTAACTCAATAAGGAAATGGAGCAATTGGTAAAATTGGCACATCTTTGAGAAGTTGCTAGCTTAGGATCTTGACCGGAAGGGTAAAAAGAACAACAGAGCAAAGGATAACTTTGCCTTATGCTGGACTTCTGCTATTTCTGGTGATTTCATGAGCAAATTGTCTGAAGTTCTGCTAATTGAGTAATAAAGAGGAACCTCTCAAAAAGCAAACTGTTGGTTTTCAGTGAGGCATTCTTGGGGACTGCTACAACCTTGTTGAGGTAAGTCTTTTCATTCCCCTCCTCTGAGCCAGATTGGAGGACAACACAGGTTCCAGCCTTGGTGCCTGAGGTGTTCGGTTTAAAGCAAAGTAGGTGGCTGCCATTGCCCCCTGCAAGAGGAGAAAGAGAAAATGCTGCGATTATGGCCAGTTCTATGATTTCTTCCTTTTCCTTCCCTGACTCTTGTCCCAGAGCAAAAGGATAATCTCCATTAAACATTACAGATATAGGGCTTGGTGATTCTGATTCTAAACATTGGGTAGTGGAACTCCTGCCAGTTCATTACACAGCAATAGAAAGTTACAATTACTTGAAGAGGACAAGTGGAAAAGCTGTATATATTTACTGTAATGCTATATTAGCCTTGGGCTTGTTGGGGAAAAAAAACCCTCCCTAGTTCCTATATCTCCAGCATGTTGACATAAAACCCATCTTCTCATTGTTAGTCAGCAAACGGGAAGGAAACTTTTCACATGGGAACAGGATGTCCAACAGACACTATGCGTACCTTCACCAGGTGAACATCCTGTCTGCTGAGTTGATTTTGAGACAGATATTCCCTGTTCACTATCCACGGGTGTCTTAGCACTTGAACTGCTGTTAGTCGCTGATGAGGATCTACATGGAGCATCTTGGACACAATGTCCTGTGGTTGAAGAGGAAGGGAAGAGTAGTAGGAAGGAAAAGAAAGTAATTACGTTCTGCAGAAACTGATTGGAAATATGTTACCAAGATCTTTCCCTCTCGTTCCACCAACAGCAAATATTGTAAAGGCTTAAATGTGGGAGACATCTAAGCTTTTATAATAATTTGCAAATTAAAAACATAACTTTCTAATCATGATAATAATAGCAGAAATTTTCAAACCCACACTATGCTGAAATCTCATGATCCCATCTTGATCCAGTGGTGCTGCTGTGAAAATGAATTATGATGAAGTAAGTGACAATATAGATGTGAAATCTGGATAGCTTATTAAACCATCATCTGAAAACTGAGTCTGTAATCTTCACAGAGACACGGGCAAGTTAGTAGAGCTGGAAATTTTCTGATAGATTGTATTTTTGTTGGAAAACTCCAACTAAGATGGAATAGTGAGTACGAGTAGGGAAGTCATTTCACCTGTGTGTATGGCAATGGTGTGACTGATTCTAGAACACTAGATTCTAAAATCCAAGAATTTAACAAAGAACTGTCTAAATCACAGAGACTGCAGAAAGAGAAGAGCCAAAAAAATGATTCAAGGGCAGGAAAAATGCCACCCAGAAAAGACTTAAAGAGATCAGGTGGTTTAGTTTATAAAAAAAGAATTTTGAGAGGTGGCTTGACTAGTGCCCAAGGACTTCCACAGAAAGAAACTACCAGTTAGTAAAAAGTTCTTTAAAGTACTGAAGAAAGGTAAAAGCAAGAAACAATGGCTGGAAGCCATATTCAAACAAATGTGAATTAGAAATAAGTCACCGATTTTAACACTAGGGATATTTAACCATGGCAACAAACTACCAAGGGAAGTGATGGATTCTCCAGCTTCTAGGCTGTTTACATATGTGAAAAACCCCAAAACAGCACTTCACTTTCAATTCAGCATGCCCCGGCACCAAGTGCACTGCATGCGCAGAAGAGGCATTGTGTCAGTTTGACCCAGCTCGCCCAGCATCTGTATAGATCACGTGCTACAGCAGGACTTTTTGGCGCTTTTATCAAATAGCTGATTGAATCTATCAAATAGCTGATTGAAAATTGATGTGATGCCTCTTCTGTTAAAGCTCTGTGTTATTGTTTGTCTTTTTTATGTCTGTCAGCAGCGTTAATATCTTTAAGTCAAGACTATCTGGAAGATATGTTTTAGCTGAAACCAAGTTACTGTCTGTATTACAGCAGAAACTGAGTGAAGTTCTTCAGCTCTTGCTTTCTAGGTGGTCAAACAAAATGATCTAAAGGTCCCACCTGGCCTATGGCTGTCTGAGTGGATGTCTTGCAGCTAAGGTGCAGAGGTAAGATTCAAGGGCCATCATTTCTAATGCTTAGCTCTTCCACAGACTTCCTTCATTACTGTATTTACACAAATATAAGACAAGGCTTGTACCCACAGTCAGCATGGGGGGAAAAGCCCTCATCTTAGATTTGCATGCAAGGACAACTAGTTAAATACATTGTCTATCATTAAATGGCTGCCAAAAGCAGCATCTGCTCAGTAATGGAAACCACTGGTGACACATAGGGGGTGCACGCACACCCCCTGAGATTGGCAGTGCACCCCCTACAAAAAGCACTGCCAACAGTGCTGGTGATGCCTGTGCGCAGTTGCCACTTGCTACCCCCCTCCTTGCTGCTGACACCACCAGCGGTGTCTGCAAGTGGTTCCTGATCGCTGCTGGCCTCTGCCGTTGCTGCCGGCGGCATCTGCGGGTGGTCGCTGACCACTGGTCAGCAGTCGCTACCCCCTTCCCCGCTGCCAATGCTGCCATGGCCGCCTGCAGGAGCTTCCTGCTCAGCCCGCCCCTGCCACTGACACCGCCATGGCTGCCTGTGGGAGCTCTCTGATTGCCACCACCATGCCTCTGCCACTGCCACCACCTGCATGGTTGCTGTGCTCCCCCAGCCTCCGGGTCTTCTCGGAGTCGGGTTGCTTGGGAATGCAGCCCAAAGTGGGTGGTAAACTCCATCTAAGGCTAAATACCGGCACGAGACCGATAGTCAACAAGTACCGTAAGGGAAAGTTGAAAAGAACTTTAGAGAGAGTTCAAGAGGGCGTGAAACTGTTAAGAGGTAAATGGGTGGGGTCTGTGCAGTCTGCCTGGAGGATTCAACCCGGCGGGCTCGGTCGGCCAGCCCAGGATGGATCCCCCTCGCCCCCCACTCCGCGGGGGTGGGGCAGGGTAGTTGGGGACCGCTGCCCGGATGGCCCTGGCCCCCGTCAGGCACACTTTCACCGTGGCAGTGCACCGCGATCGGCTCTGCGTCAGCTGGGACAGTCTGGTGGGCAGGTGTGCATACAGTGTTCATGATGGAAACCAACTATAAAGCTGGCTGAATGCAGCCAACACTGAGCATGATTATAAAACACATGGCCCATATTGACAAACATACTGATGGGAACTTTTGTTGTGTGTGTGCCCCCTAAAAAATGGGTAGTTGTTTCCCCAGGACGAAATATGCACCGGGCCTGGACGTACCACAATACTGGGACAGCACTAAGAGAGGCCAGAACAAGCTCCAACATCTCCCTAGGTGCCAAAAAGGCAGATGAGAACCTGAGAATCTTTTTTCTTTTTGGTCTTGAAACAAATCAAAAAGGAAGCTGTTCCCTCCAAAGGGAACTGACACCAGGACTGGAGGTACTGCAATACCAGGCTAGCACCAGGAGGGCCAGAGCCAGCCTTAATGCCCTCACCTTAGTGCCAAAAATGTTTGATCTTAGCAAAAGGCTAACACGCTACCTCAAAGATAGGTCAGTGCAGTCCATCTGAATGAGATTTCTGACCGTGCCTATTGTGGTCAGTCCTCCTCAGCACCAACTCTTTTTGAAGTTATGGTGAGCCACTACATTGCATATATTTCAACCTCTTCACTCCCACAGCTGAGCTGTGCCTTCCTTACCCATTTCCAGTGGCTGTGTCGACATGAGATGTTGACTGCACAGTAGCCTGAGACTACTGCGTAGAATTATCATGTGGCAGAAAGCATGATGCAATGCAGTAGTCTGGGGCTAGTGTGCAGTTACCATTTTGAAAAAGTTGTTTGTCAACACTACTGACTACTGTGCAGTCATTTAGTGCTTGTTTATATAAGTACTAAAGACTGCACAATAACGATTGCAGTGTCAGCATCTTGTGTAGATGCGGCCAGTAGAGCTGTGCATCTTTGGTCACTAATTCAATTCAGCGGAGATTCGGCCCAATTCAGTGGCTGAATCTCCGAATCCGAATTGAATCAGGAGACCCTATAATCTCTCCAAATTTAATTGGAACCCTTTGAATTGATTCAGAGAGATTTGGAAAGATTCAACAATTTGGACATAGACACAGCTTTAAATGTTTTTTCTACATACCTCAAGGTACCAGGCAACTTGTGAATGCTGCGATGATGGGGTGGATGAAGCATCCCACAGGAGTGCAGGGGGCTCTGCAGCAAACCCAGAAGTGGACCAAAAGCACTTTCAGTCTGCTTCTGGGTCCACCAGGGAGTGTGCTGGGGGACCCCTCGTGCCCTGCCCTGCTTTGGCGACTGGTGCCTCCTGGGTTTGGGGGGGCACTCAGAGTCCCACGGTCAATTGCTGAGCCAGGGGTAACTGGGCAGGGAAGTTTTGGGGGGGGGGCCGTGTGCTCAGCAGCAGACCCAGAAGTAGACACTTCCGGTTTTGGTGCTGAGTACGTGGGGGGCCCCCCCTGCACTCCTGTGGTACACTCCATCCTCCCCATCATCGCAGCATTCATGAGCTATGCCTGGTACCTTGAGATATGTAGAAAAAAAATTTTAAGCTGTTTATATGGCCAAATCGCTGATTCTCCAAATCATCATCAAATCTTTAGATTCAGATTTGGCCAAATCAAATCAGGGACAGTGATCGAAATCAACAAATCAAATCATTGTCCCTGATTCAGGCTGAATCTGAATCCAAATTAAATATGGCCTGTTTTGAATACTCCTAGTGGCCAGTGATTGCTGTTTCTTCACCAGCCTTAAATGTCTGGCAACCATCACCAAACTGGGCTCCAAACAGTTCATCCAGAATCCCCCTGTCATCCTCTCTCTCAACCTGACACATATGATTAGTGTGGCTCTGCCCTCCATGAGCTGGAGCCAGACCAGGTTGCCCTGTGCCTCATCTGTATATAAATTTTTGGAGGGTCCCAGGACTTGTGACAAGAACACTTGGTTCCAGTCATGAGTGGAGGCTAATTGACTCTACTTCCATGTTAGCAGGGGGAGCAGGATCTGACAGTAAGGGGCAGGGGGAGAACAGGGAAGAAGTTGCAGGGGTGGGGGGCGGGGGACAGAGAGCAAGGGAACTGCCTGATTCCCCCCCTCCCCACCCCCCTGATTTATTTTCCCTGCTGTAGCACTGGCAGGGGGAAAAAATTCAAGGCAAACCTCCAGTAATTAGGTTCTGTACCTGGAAAATTATAACAAATTTATAAATTTTCCATATATATAGAATCTAATTATTGGGGGAAGTGTCTTATATTTAGGGCTGTCTTATACTCAAGTAAATAAGCTACTTTGGACAAGTCTCTTTGGCCAATCTGAGACACTTTGGACCTAATTCTCAGAAGTGCTGAGTACTTCAAGCACTTCAGATTTTCTGTACCTTTGAAAACATGTCTGGGACCTCAAACATTTGACTATCCAAATTAGGGGCCACATCTGAAGCTGAAGGCTATAATCACTGTGTGCTGCAGTCTTTTCATCTATAAAATGGAGTCAAGAATATTTGGTCCTCTCTAAAGGAATGTTTGTAAAGTCAACTAAAATATTTGAGTGGAAGGTGCTATGCAAATACAATGTCAATTATTATTAACATAAGACCAAATATTTTCAAGTGTACACTAAAATGTAAGTTTATGGGTTGCCTTTTAAAGGTTTGCTGTAGTGAGCAACAAAGTGATCTACAAATAAATAACACATCTATGGTATTGGGTCACCTACATTTTTGAAAGTTTCTGCCAAATAAATAAGGGGGTTTTAATATTTCAGTATTCAATGTATTTGTAGGTTACAGGGTCATATAATATGTCACATTCAAAACGTGGTGCAAACATTTCTAATGTACTAATTCAAACGGAACAATAATAACATACACATTTCTCATTGAAGGAGACATAAAGAATGAATATTCTGTTGATTTTTCCTCAGATTTTCTAGAAAGGATCTTATGACAGAAAGAATAATTGTCCCTTTCAGTAAATTAGACTCAAACCATGACAAATCCACTGACCTTTGCAGCATCTGATACTGAATCCCAATTTCCTCCTGTAAGTGCATATTTGCCACTGCCAATCCTGGCCAAAATCTCTTCTGGGGTGTCATCTGGTCCATTTGCAAAAGGGGTGAACCTGTTCAAAAAACATCACAGACATGTATGTATTGTAGTTTGCAGGCACAGAATTACAGTTTCTTATTTTGTAGTCCTGACTCCTGTAAATAATCATTAGGCCTTTGAGTAAGGACTGCAGAAGCATCTGCTCAGTTTTCATTCAAAGCATAGAATATGCAGACGTGGTAATCTGTGTTAGCTTGAAATCAGGCAGAAGACAGGGCAGCATTCACTTAGGCCAGGTTCACAAGAGCAGGAGCATGCCTTTACAGCAGCACAAATACTAGTGGCACAAATTTGTGCTTCAGTGCACGCCCCTGCCCGCGTCCTTTGCAGCGGGACACATTCAAGGAATTTTGAAGTGTCCTGTTAGAGGAAAACTCTTGCACTTACCCCGCCAACATAGTGTACAACAGGATCCCTAAACTCCAGATGTCACAGGCTGCGTCATAACCTTGCCGTTTCAGGACCTATATTAAAGAAAACAGAAGACAAAAATAAGGGGGTCAATTTATGTTTTTAAATTTGTAACTTCTGAATGTCAGGGATGGATGTAGCGGCAGCAATCTCTTCATATTGGCAGGGTAATTCTGGCATACCAGTAGAGTATGTTGTTGTCTAGGGCAGCAAAATACTCAGTAATTTTGCGTGTATGTAAGGAGGGGATGGAAAAGGAGGACATTTACCGCTGTTTAAGGTAACAATCTATTTAGCTGCCCCTAGACACTTGATTCTAAAGAACCCACATAACAAAGAAGTTTCCTTGGAAGCTTTTAAGAGCAGGTTAGACATTTGACTGGGGTGCTTTAGTCAGGGATGATCTTGTCTTGAGTAGGGAGTTGCATCAGATGACTTCATGAGGTCCCTGCCAGCCCTATTTTTCTGTGAATCTATGAGAAAGAGACTGGGTTTTCAAAGCAATGGCTCAAACCAATTATTCACACAAGCACACTGAAAATGTGTAGACTGGACAATGTAAAGCAAGGTACAGTCACCCTTACATGCAAACAAATCACAGAAGAAATCAATATTGGGACTGAGAGACACATTACTAACTTTACTACTGAAGCAAAATGTGAACAGTCTTTACAGAGTTTAGTTAAAACGATTCTAGACATTAGTAGCATGAATCTCTGGCAATGTAAAGCGGGGGTACCTTTATACACATCTAGGGTCCCGTTATATGGCTAGAGCATTGTAAAATAGCTTTTGTGTAAATGACATTTAGGCCCAAGGGTTTGATTTTTGAAACGGTCCATGTATGAATTCAGTTATCAGACCTGCATGCCAAAATCAGCTTGAGTGCAGGACGTAGCGTTTTGTGAAACCCTGCATCTACACTTGGAAAAATAATGGTTGAGTTTAGATAAGACTTAGTGAGCACATATCAATCAACCTCGCTTGACCTAAACATGACCTTCACCAAGCTTGGGCAATGGCAGAACACGCTTACTCTCCTCCTCTAGGTCTGGCCTTACTGCATCTGCAACACTCTTGGTAATCTCCAACCCAGGAGGGAATGTCTTAAATCTGCAGGAAAATGGGTCATGTTTAAAAGCATTTGCCAACATGTTTTAGCAAGTGTTTTTTTTTAAAACACTGGAATAGACTGTTTTAAACTTTAAAAAATATGTTGGCTGGTGTATATTGACCCTAGAGATATGCAAGTCAAAAGGCATCAACCTCCATGTACTCAGACGACAAGGTTCACAGTTAGGGCAGTGGTTACTTAAGATAAGGCTATCTAATTGATGGCCCACAGGCTGTATCCAGACCTGAAGTCCCTAGGCCCCTAATCCTGACAGCTCCCCACACTGCTCCAACTGCTGCTGCCACCAGAGTCTCTGGGCTCCCCTTCCCTCCTTCTGCTTTTGCTGTCTACCCCTGCTCCTGGTGGCCCACGGGGTGGCCCATGGGTACCTGCAGCTGGGAGAGGATCAGGAACCCTGCATGGTGCAGTATGGGGGTGATGGCATGGTCCAGCAAGGGGCAGAGGGGGCCATGTGGTGTGCAGGGCTTTAGCATGGTGCAATGCGGGGCATGGAGGCACCGACCTGGTGTGTCAGGGAGGCATGTGGCTAGGGTCTTGAGACCACCAGTCACTCAGAAGTTGGACATCCTTGATCTAAGACATATTAGGTGACCCCTCCTCTAGCATTGACCTCCCTTCTTAATCTAGACTTACCCACTGCAAAACAGAACCCCAGAAGGATTTGCTTGTCAAATCACTTCTCAAAATTTAACTGCACTTAATATTGATATTGGAATTTTAATCAAATAAGCCCCTTGGGTTATACTAGGGGCACTTAAATTTGACTAGGGAACTGAATGTGGTTTAAAATATGTATCTAATCCAGCTCTTAGCTCAAGAAACTGCAAGCCACTTGAGAAATGGGGGTACTTCAGATGTTACCATTCAGTGCTGAAAATGACCCAGAAGTTTATCTCAAATCATCAAACCACTAGGCTATTGTATCACTGGGCTAAACATATCATGAACATACTCTCTTCACAGGTATTTTCTGCTTCGACTTGTAATGGAAATTGGGAAATCTACAGGAAAATAAAAATTAAAAATAGCCCTTACATGTTTGTAGACTAGAAAAGGTTCTGTTCAGATTTCCATTGAAATTTGGACAATGAAATTTGCTTGTTTTATATAAAATGTCCTCCTATATTTGGTCATGTAACAAATGGGTTCTTTGGCTTGTTTTTTCCCTGAATGAGCCTGTTTTACTCTTTGCAGAAAGCATTACTCCCACCAGGTGGTGTACTGGTTCTTCCTCTTAGAACTCATTTAACTATGTGCCTTCTGCTACCAAAAATTAAACGCTTTTCATAATAAAGGGAGATTTATGTAAGCAAAATGTGTTATCTCACATTTGTCATCCTCTGCTTGTATTATATGCTCAACTGACTTCCTAACTTCCTATTTAATTTCATAAGTACATTGCAGAAATGGTTGCAGGGTGGCTTAGAGAAAGTACAAGGCAAGTCTGGGCTGGAGGACACATTATATTATAGGGAAACTGTAGTAGCAGCCCTTAGGATTTATTTAAATTTTCATCTGTAAACTACCAGTTCTGAAAAATGTTTTAACTAATCTCTAATGTTCCCAGAATTTCTAGGACATGTTTTCCTCATTGTGAGTTGCTGAGAGTATGATTTCTGCCTTCACTTGGCCTTAATAAAGTGTAATCTGACAATGTGATGGCCTGGCAATATTTCTGATTATGGACAGTGTACCAAAATATTTAGTAATCAGAAGAAACACTTAGACAGTGGAGGCATGTTATTCTTTGAGAAAGTGTCAATATTAAAATCTTATAAGCCCAGTCAATTTTCAGTGGAATGCAACCATAGTACCTTTTTTCATTAAACCTAATATATTTTAAAGAGTTAGTTCCACATTTCAGAATTGAAAATCAACCAAACAATGACTAAATAACAGATTTTCCACTTAGCAGTGGAAGACATTAAAGCAATAATAAAATACCTGTATTGATTTCATTGTTATGCATTGAATATGGCTATAAGCAGTCAGTGTGGCGACATCTTTCGTTATACCAACTAGATAGTTGCAAAAACAATTTCTTTATTTGCAAGCTTTCGGGCTCATGCACCCTTCCCCAGGCAAAGGAGAATGCAAAGATTGTAAAATTTCTCCCAGGTAGAAATGAAACATCATATTGCACAGGAGAGCTGGACGGTGGTGTACGTTATCCCATCTGGGAAAGTTCATTTAATGCAAATTAGGCTTGGATAAAACCTAAAAACATCCTGCTTGCCATCAGACACCTTTGAGTTAAATAGACTGCTCCGCCTTTTATCTGAGCCTAATCTGCATAAAATGAACTTTTCCAACCAGGAGAACTTCTACCACCCTCCAGCTGTCCTGTGCAATATAAAGTTTCATTTCTACCTGGGAGAAATTTTACAGTTTTTACATTCTCCTTCACTGGAGGAAAGGCACATGAGCCTGAAAGCTTGCAAACAAAGAAATTATTTTTGCAACTGTCTAGTTGGTGTAATATAAGATATCACCTCTACCGCACTGACTGCTTTTGCTTTTTAGACCAACATGGCTACAACCTTTACCCTTGAATATGGCTATGGCATATACAGAAGGTCCCTGAACAACCACACTAAGTGGAAGGGAACCCTGTGTAGTTGTTATGAAAATATGGTGGACCTCCTGACACTCTGAAGTTGTTACAAGGAAAGAAACTGCACTGCAGAAACAAAAAGCAGCTGACTGAACGTGTGGTTGATTGGAGTGTGTTGACTGCTCAGTGATCTACAGTAGATCATTATAGGTCACAGAGCAGAAGCTTGTGTCCAACACTGTGAATCTCATCATAAGACAATGAGAAGATGTCAGCTCAATAAATGTCACATTTTGACACTGGATGGCTACAATCCATATTTTTTAAAAGCATCTCAAAAGGACTGCTGATAGGAAAACCAATCCTATTTTTCACTTCACAGTTATAAGCTTAACTAAACTGCTAAGTTTTCTTGTGGTGATTGGAGTATTATGGGGAAATGGGGTTGTGAAATGGGTACCAGCTGAGTGAAAAATGATGTCTGACAGAGGACGAGATGCAATCTTATGATAAGAAACACTTCTGTATTTTGTCATAGGGCAGAAACTAGCAGAGATAGACAAAGCTGTACATTGAGGGTACAAGAATGAGCTCATGAACATGACTTGAAGATGTGATAAAAAATCGTGTGGGAGCTAAACTTGTTGAAACTTCATAAGAAGGGCAGATATGGGTTTGTCCACCAGCATTTCAGGTGGACAAACCCATAGAGAATGGGCAACTTAAATCATTCAAACAGGGAGAGAAACCCAATCCTGTTCCCATGGTTACCAATGAGCATAAGAGAAGTAGAAAGGAAGAATGCTAGTTTAGTTTGGAGCACTAGCCTTGGGACTCAGGGGGTAGTTTCTGCGTTGCTGGGCAAATTGCTTATCTTCCTTTTACCTTAGTTCTCTATGTGTAAAATGGGGATAACAGCTCTTCCTTACCTACAGTGTTGCAAGGACAAATATATTAAACACTGAGAGATACTTAGATGCAATAGTGATGAGGACCGTAAAAGGACCATAACTGAGAAAGAGAGATAACATTCCCATAATGAGCCACACTCTGATACCCTTCCTTACTCTAGACAGCACTGGTTCAACAGGACAACACAAAGGGTCAGGTACTATTCAGTGGGCACATCTACATGTGCTATTCATGCTGTAAAGGCTAACTGCACAGTAAAATACTGTGGGGTAAACCTTCCCTGGGAGCAGGTCTACATGTGCTCCCTGTTGGAAGCAAATCTGCTTTGCCCAGTACAGGGCTGATCCTACCTTCTGACCCCCTGCAGCAGCCGGGGGAGCTCTGGGCTCCCCTGGAGTGCTGGTCTGGGGACTGGTAGGAAGCATGGGGGCTGGTCCCTATCTGCATGGGGCCAGGAGAGCTCTGCCAGCTGCAGTGGCAGCTGTCTCCTTGCCCTGTACACATTAGGAGGGGTCCTGATGTTCAGGGGGCCAAGAGACTGTTGCCACTGCAGAGCTCTCCCAGTCCCCTGTACATGGGGACAAGCAGAGTGCCCACTGGGACTTCCCTGCACAGTTCGGGGCTGGATGGGAGATGCCCTGTAAGTGGGACAGCTCCTGGTCAGCCCATGGGCTGCTCAGATAAATCCTTGCCCAGTTCTCACCATCCCTGGGCTGCTTGGAGAAATCCCCACACAGTTGGGAGCTGGCTGGGAGCTGTCCCAGAAGTGGGACATCTCCTAGCCAGCCCCCAGATGTACAGGGAAGCAGAGAGCTGCCCAGATCCAGTGCTGCTTGACTCCCAGCTCCTGTGGGGAGCCAGGAGATCAGCAGCACTGGGGCAGGGTGGGGCAGAGAGCTATCCCATCCCAGTGTTGCTCCTGATAGGAGCTGGCAGCACCAGGACCTGGGGAGTTCTCTGTCTCCTGTGGCTTTCTAGTGTTGGGGCTGACTGAAAGCAAATTTATTCCTGGTAAGCCTCTACACATGCGCTACTGTGCAGTATGTATTGCATAGTTAGTTTACTACTTGCATTTACAGGTAGTAGCTAACTGTGCAGTAAACTAATTTATTGTGCAGTAAATGGTGTGCACATGTAGATGGTGATGCTCTATTTTGTAGTAGATTAGTCTACTGTGCAGCAAAGCATCTCATGTAGACACACCCAGTGAAAGTGGCCTACAGGAGAAATAAGTCTAGAGATTTCTACCTCAGATGGGAGTCAGATATGCTGCCACGCTAAGGACTTAAGGAGGATGGGCTAAACTATGCTAGAGTGAGCTGAGTTCCTTACAGTCATAACACTTTACATCTGTACTATAACTCCACAGATTATACCTACCTGGACTACTGCTTGAGAAGTTCAAGGGGAGGGATATTTTGCAGAATCTTTCTTTTTTGACACACCTGGAATCCTGACATCCTAACTCCAGTGATGTCAACAGCCAAGCTCCCACTGACTTGACCAGGGCCAGGATTTCATCCTAGAGATGGTCTCTCTCCTGATTCTTGATTAACATTGGCTTTAGCATGGTGATTCTGAATCCTACATTTTGATGTGGTTCACTGAATGGCAACCAGCCTTCTATTCTTTTCGAAGAAATGGTTGAGGAAGGAAGTGGTGCTTCTACTTTGGTACTCACCAAAGTGATAGATAAGTCAGTCCACCCAGGCACTGGCTTCTCTCATTAGGTGTATGGGGATGACAGCAACGACTGACAGGAAGAGGAAGCAGCTGGCAATGGAGCATATTATTTTCATCCCTATTCTAATTTCTGCCTTATTCCTTTAAAAAAGGCAGGGAGCAAAAAGGACCACAAAGACAGAGAAATGCTTTCTGACCTAGTTTCTGCACGCATAGTTTATGAAAAATAATCCTACCTCAGGGGCTACAAAGTTGGCTGTATAGCACGGTGTCATGAGCAGTCCATTCTCTGCTCTCAACTGCTTGGCGAATCCAAAGTCACAGATCCTGATGGAATCTGGGTTTCCTGATTCATCCATGTAAAGAATATTACTGGGCTTCAGATCTCGATGCACAACCTTCACAGAAAACAAATCAATAATAAATATAAAGAAGATGGTTACAGCACTCAAGTTTTTGGTACCATTCTAAATTTCTTAGAGTATAGGACAACAGTGCAAAAAAGTCTCTTATTTGAGGTAGGTAAAGAGTAGTCCTTGAAAGAAATACATTTTTTGTGTGGTTGTTTTTAAATGAATGAGCTGAGGTTATGGGTGCAGAATTGTACTTCCATTAAAATCAGAAATAATAATACTTGTGCTGATATAGCAAGAGGGAGGCAGATGTTCCAGTGGAAGGAGTCTTTTGTGTGGGTTAGCAGAGGCAATTACTGAAGAAATACAATACAGCACTCTAAAAATACAGGAAGCTCTTGGGATCTGAAAGGTTTAATCCTTCCATTAAAAGGGCAGATTGCCAGAGGAGGAAAGTGTAGACTCATTCAAGGGTGAGGATCTTCCTGTGACTTTCTTAACATGAGTGGCTCACAATGAAAAGAAGACATTTTTATTTATCTTCATTTCCCTTCCTAAAATACTGTGCTCTGTTTTGCTAGAAGTGCCTCGATTTCAGGAGACGTGAATAATCTCTATATGTGACAACTCTTTTGGAAAACTGTCATGACAACGAACTAGGCCAGGCCAAAAAAACAATGCTCAAAAGCCCCCGCCAAACTCATTTGGACCCTGGTGATGCAAAAAGAAAAGCTATTTTACTAGATCATCAAAAATGTTGATGAATTTTTCAAATTGCTACATGTAGAGAGTGCAGGTTTCCAAACTAAGCGTCATTATAGGATGTTTACATCTTTTCCCAGTAGATACCTTAATTTGTATGTACACTTGAAAAATAGGCCTTTGCTTTTAGGTCTAAGTGCTGATCTGAATATCCAAAGTGTTTGAATTTTGATATTTTATTATATAGCTCTAATCTACAAGGTGGTTGGATACTACAATGGTAGCTGTGGTATCAATAAATAACACCATCAACATAGGTAGAACTAAAAACTGGAATAATTTAAGATGAAAAATACAAAATAAACAAAAGGCATTTGGTTTGCAGAACATCAGGAGGACCTCAGAGACCCATTCTGCACATTGGACATAATTATAGATATTAAAAAAATAAGAATTTCCAAACTTCTGTCCATTCCAAGAACTGGTCACACATTCTGGTCAGCCCCTATTTTACATTTCTTTTCTAGCAATCAGTTGTTAACAAGGCTGATGTAGAAGACAGAGGCAATAACACTCACACCCTGGGAATGCAGATAGTCCACAGTCTTGGCAATAGTGCAAAGGACAGCACTAGCCTCTCGTTCGGAGAAACACTTCTGTCGAAGAATTCTGTCTAGGAGCTCTCCTCCTCGCATGAGCTCCATCACCAGGTACACATATTTTCCATCATCATAAACCTAGAAGAGCAGAAAACCAATAAGATGCTATAGATCTATTAGACTAGCTAGTAGTGGTCTCTTTGCAGTGACCCTGGCATATTACTGTAAGATGCTGAAAGAAGAAAATAGGTGCTAATATTCAAAAAGTGAATTTTATACTCATTAAACCTAAAATGTATAAGTATTTTTTTAGAACAGGGGTTAATCAAGGCTGCCGACTCATCTCTGAAGCCACTATGTAGCCTACCTACACAGAAGCCCAGTTTTCAAAGTCTGCTCTGAAGTCAACAAAATATTAATAAACCAAGCTGTAGACGCATTACCAACAAATGGAGCTTGAAATCTTAGCTGGCTTTAAACCAAACTTCCTCACAGTAATTTGCTCTTCCAAGTTCTACAGTGTAAAATTTGCCATTTTAAATATCAATATTTTCCTTTGTCTCATAATCAGCTAAATGAACTGCCTTATTCTTGGCCAAAACACACCTTCAATGATATCATATAGCACATACTTTGCTGTGCTGGTAAGTAAATCATTTATGTTAGTTTCAAAATATGCTGACATTTTTACATAATTCTAGCAAAGCATGACTGGAAGGGATCTCAAGAGGTCATTTAGTCCAACCTGCAGTGTAAGGCAGGATCACCCTGTCTAAATCACCCTATCAAATTGTTTGTCTAACCTATGGCTTGTGGGCCAGATCTGCCCCCCGCCCCAAGTGACTGGATCCAGCCTGTGACATGGGGGATTAGCAACAACAGCTTTCCTAATATCCAGTGATTTACTACCCCCCTCCCCCTCCTGCCCCCATGAGAAAGTTTTTCCTATTATGTAACCTAAACTTCCATTGCTAAAATTTGAGGCTATTGATTTTTCTTCTGTCATCTGCCACCACTGAGAACAGTGTAGCTCCATCTTCTATGGGACCGCCCTTCAGGTAGTTGAAGGCTGCTATTAAATCCCTTCTCAGTCTTCTCCTCTCCAGACTAAATAAGTCCAGTTCCCTCAGCCTTTCCTCACAAATCCTGTGCCCGAGCCCCCTCACCATTTTTGTTGCCCTCTGCTGGACTCTCCCCAATTTGGCCACATCCTTTCTGTAGTTGGGGGGGGGGGGGGGGAGGAGGGGGCAAAACTGGACATAGTACTCCAGATGTGGCTTCACCAGTGCCAAATAGAGGGGAATAATCACTTCCTTTGATCTGCTGGCAACACTCCTACTAATGCAGCTCAGTATGCTGCCAGCCTTCTTTGCAACAAGGGCTTCCTCTCTCTCTTCCCACTATGTCTGATATTGGCAGCTACCTCCCTTCCCCCTTTCTCCCTCTGCCCCTCCCCTATTGGAGGGGAATGGTGGCCTGTGGTGCAATTGGATCCCAAGCACATGACCCACTACTCTAAAAGGTGGAGCATCACTGGTCTAACACCTTAAAACTACATGAAGAACCCTTATGCACAGTTACTAGACACAAAGCCCGAAAACATCAGGAGCACCCTAACTTGCCACAGGTAAAGCCAGGGGACAAGGGCATTATCAATGTCCTCCCACTGCAAAGACAGGAAGTAGTTTGTTAAAATACACCTCAATTTTAAATGTGTAATTGAGAAAAAATGTTGCCCAAATTGGAATACAGCAAATTTAATTTCATGATCCTTTGTTAGAATGGGTATTTATATGGATAACAAAAATATCCAGTTCTATAACAGTCGATCCTAAACTTTGCTGGAGGGCTTGTAAAACCTCATGCTTCAGGTCTTAAGACAAATTCCTTCCTATCTATTCAATCTATTAGGGATTCTTATGAGCTCTTTTAGGATCTAGCAATTTCCTGCCCCTTTTCCTAAACATTTGGTACCAGCCACTGCTGGAGACAAAATATTGGACCAAATGAACCATGAAAGAGACCCATTATGTCAATTCCTAGTTCCTTTGTTTATAGGCTACAGATAATGTATGGGTCTTTTTCTGCCTATTTAGCAAGCACAATACATAGGAAGCTTAAAAAGCTCTTTCCAGACTACTGTCCAAATGAATGGTAATGAGTTTTAATGTGCTTATTCATATAAATATACATATACAAACACATTCTCCTTACTATTCAGTTGGATGCTTGGTTGGAAAGTGCCAATCTCCTATACATTGCTGCAGTTTTATTGTGTTCTATATCGGTTCTTAAACCAAGCTCATGACCATAGTGTTTGAACTCACAAAATCATCCTAGCTATCTTGTTTCCAATTCTTGTAACTCCTAGGCAAATACAGATTAGGGCTGTGTCAATATTACTTAAGGATTATCAGCTCTTGGTATAAAGGAAGGAGTGGGGTGCCAGAAACATCATATAATTTGTGAGTTAAAACTTTTGGGAGGCTGCATGATTAGTGTTTCACAGCTTTCTATTTTCCCCTGGCCCACTGGCTTTGCAAATTTGGAACTATGGTACTCCAGGACTTTGCATATTTTTGGAAGGGAGACCATTTTTTGTGAAAGGGCACCTTTTTTGTTTAACTGCTCCACGTGAGACAGCTGGCACAACTAGTCCTCATCTATGTTAGGGAATTTTAGCAAGTACCTTTTCCACCAGTACTGTTATCTCTTGACTCCCTAGTATAGACAAGGTAAGTTCCAACATTTCTTTGCTACACTAACGAACGCCACTCAGGGAAAGGGGTAAAACATCTTCTAGGGGTCTGGGCTGGTGCTGCCATTGACACTGCTGATACTATGGCTAGCACTAATGGAGATTTTTTCCTAGGGTCGCCTCGTGTATACAAAGCCTTAGTGGCCTTGGTAAGGCAAAGTCTCTTCTGCATTTTCTAGTTTTGCAAGTGGAAGTTAAAAAAAAATCTCTTCTCATTATATACAAACCAGGGATATCCCTCAGGTTACATATAACATTACCTCACACAACTAAACGAGTATCAGAATTTGCACATGAATTGCTGTTGAACCTGACATAGCGATTCCAGTTATCTAATCTGTGTTTGACAACTTGTTTTGAAAAAATAGGTGGAGAAATCTTGATCATAAGTGCTGTAACAAAACCAAATTAGTTTTGATTCTCTCTGGCATCATGGTATTTCAGATCTGGTTTTAGGGCAGAGTTAATAAAAAGGTATTTGCTGAATGCATGATCTGATGAATTGCCATCTTTTTATCCAGTTATTAAATTGACATTTTTGGTTACTCAAATAGCTGTAGTTTTCACTGTGGCTGCAAATTAAAATTGAAGAGTTTTCCAGATGCATCATAGCAGGTGAACTTGGTATTATGAGGAGAACTGTTTAATGCCAATGCGTTCTGATATTACTCACGTCTTTCAGAGTAATGATGTTTGGATGCTGCCCATATCTCAGGAGAATCTCGATTTCTTCAGAGGGGTCTCTTTTGCTCTTATCAATTATCTAGAATACAAGAAGCACGGAGCAGTAAGATACAGGCTAACAAAAGTGAACAAAACAGTGCAATATCTACAGTTCAAATGAATTAACTCTGAAAATTCTTCTGTTAACCATCCATCTAGGACAGGCAAACCCAACTTCTATGATCCTGGGTTGGCAAACTACTATAAAAATAGACTGTTTGATAACTAATTTGAATTTTGAAGATGTGCTTTCTCAACCCAGCTATGTTTTTCAGGCCTGCAACTTTGTTTGGGCTTAAATAATTGCAGGTATGTGGGATGTCATCTAGACATCAAACTACTTGAGAAGTTAGATGACAGACTTGTTGTAAGCAAAAATAAATGCCTGCATCCATAATAGTGGCTTATATTTGCATCTCCCTTGATAAATGAGTAGAAATTGCTTGTCAGATAGGTTCAATGACAATGAAAATGTAAAGACACACAATGCATTAAAGAGGTATTACAGACTTAAGAGTGGCTGTTGTTGGGGCTACACTAGCAGAGTGATCCAGAAGGAGATGCATTGCACCTAGCACTATGATTCCACTTTGGCTCCCCTCCTCTGAGGAAGAAATCTGCTTTGTACAGCACATTTTCAGCACATACATTTATCTCTTCCACTGTCCAGGAGTACCGAGCTCAGATAAATTCCAGCCTTTAGATAGCAGGTCAGAGGAAAACATTATACCTGCTGTTTAAATGCCACCTGGGCATGGAAATCCTGCTGTTAGGATGTCATTTATTTCTGATTAGTACTTCTATCAACTGCACTTGGAATGTCAGTCAAAGAAGCTTGGTCATTTGCCCAACTGAAAGCTTCATGTTCCACACTGAATTTTAATGCTTTTCATTCCACAGACATAAATTATAAGGTGAAGTAATGCCATTTCAAGTAACCAGAGGAAAGTGTCCTAATTTTGGAGTCTCTGTTATAACTCTTGTCACTAAAGTTCAAAGACCCATTCTACCAAATGCCTAATTTTCCAGGAAAATGTCTTTTGGCTTGAATTTCTCCTGGCCAGAAGAGATTTATTTTACCCTGAGACATTTTAGGGGCATCACCAGTGAAGCTTTTGAGTACTGGGGCTCTGAAAAAAATAATTGCAGCATTTTCACATCATAACTCAATGACTGTTGACTTTGTTGGCTTCAAATTCATGATGGGTTTAGTGCTCTAAGGGCCCTGACAGATGTTGAATTAAAGGCATGATGTATTCTGATGCATGATCCCAACAATCACACTTCCTGCCATGCCACATGTGCATGGCAGGAGGTGTGAGTGTGGGAACTGAGCATCAGATCCCATCACACCATGTTGCTGGTTCAGGGGGAGCTTGGGATCATGATCCCAAACTTCTGCTGCACTGGCAAATAGCAAACTTGGCTCCATGTGCTCCTCCAGCTGGAAGCCTCAAGCTAATGGGCAGTCCCAGCCTCTGGAGCACTCAGAAGTCTTGAAGGGCTCCAGTGTGCTCCAGAAGCTGGGAGCACTGGCCAGATGTTCAGTTAAAGGTGTGATAGGAAATAGCCATAATGTCATTTACACGTATTTTGTGTAATAACTTTGTGGCTTATTCCTTGTTTTATCACACCATTCATTGACTGAATGTGTGGCCAGGTCACTACTTAAGACTTAATTAACCAGTTAATCATGTCATAAAAAAAAGTCTGTCAGGGGCCTAAGAGAACTAGTACATGCTATGAATTTGACACAGTAACATCCACAATAATAATAAAAATCATGAAATTTCTGCACAGTGATCTGTAACTCTGGCACATAATTGAATAGACTCAGTGATTGGAATAGACATTTAAATATATCTGTAGGACTAAAGGAGTCAGTGGTGATAGCACACACCTGAGTATACATCAGAAATTTAATACTCATGAACTGTAGTACACATTTGAATTTCTTAAGAAGAATACATCCTAATGATCTGATTCTTCTTCTTGTGCCTCTACACCACATTTGACCACTTGACTATCTGGTTCTTTATCAATAGTTATGTAATACATATTTAGAAATCTGAATGTGGGTCAGTGGTTTTTGCAGATATGTGAATGAATGATGAGAAAATGAATAATACTAAAGAAAACAATTCTAGAAAAAAATCTACTATGGTAATTTCTTCTGGAGTGAGTAAAATAGATGACTTATCTGAAATCATACAACACTAGTTGCTAGAGTTGGGAACAGAACTCCTGAATCCTGGACAGTGCACTAGGACATGCTGGAACAATTTTCTCTCTGCAATGCTTCTCTTTCATTTTCACAGGGCACGTTTACATGTGCAATTAATGCAACTGAATAAAATCCAGTGAAATTTGAGTTGGAGTAAACTAATCTGGATGTCACCACCTACATGTGCATTTAAGCTCAATAATTTACTCCACCATTGGATAGTACTTATGTCTGCCGGGACTATTAGATGGTGTAGTAAATTAATCTACATCGGCCTAATTGCCATGCACATGTAGATGGTGATGCTTTACTGGGTAGCAAATTAGTCTATTGTGCAGAAAAGTGCACATGTAGATGCACCCACAGTGTCTTAACACATGACCCATGACTAAAAAAGTGACAAGAAAGGTGTGACTACCACACCTATTGCAGATGCTTCTACAATTCAGACTGATTGCAGTCTTTGGGATTCATATATTATATTTCTTGCATACAATGTGCCCGAAAATAAGAGACACACTTTGTTTTTATAAGGCAGAATGAAGAAAAACAGATTTTTCCTTGTAATAAGTAGTGCAGCTAGGGAGCTGAGCCAGCTCACTGGTTTGTTCCATGTGGATTGTGTGCAGACTTTCCTTTCACTTTTGCTAGTAAGAAGAACAAACTGGTCTTACCATATTTCCTTGTACATAATGCACACTCAAACTTCCAGTGCTGTTTTCTTTTGAAAATATGACCTTAAATGTCACAAAAGGCCCTTCTGGGTCCTGAGAACAACTGCAAACCTTTCCTTATTTAGGTCTCTAAATGGGAACTGAGCTTTAGCCCTATAGTCCCCAGTGACCAGATGGACTAATGAAGTTGTTGCAAGAGTTTAATGTGTCATATTTTCTTGCATATAACATGCCTTTGCATATAACACACTCCCTATTTTTGGAAGGCACCAAGAAGGAAAAATATCTTACCTTGGAGTACAGGTAAGTACTTGATGTCTGAGGTCTCCTGGTTTGGGCAGGGGGAAGTGTGCACTGAGGCTTGAGGACTGGGGCCTGCGCATTGGTACTGGGGCTAGTTCAACCTGGCATGCCAGTGCTGGGATCATGTGATGGGGCCTGATCTGGCACATGGTTGGGTAGGGGGTGCTCCCCATGCGTCTGGAAATTTGGTGGTGGGATAAGGGTACAGAGCAGTGGCAGCATTAACTGCCATGGCTCCCAGAGCTGTGATAATTAATCCAGCCAATGCTCCATCTCCCTGGCCCCATGGCTAAATTTTCCAGTAGGGAGCCTTTTTCTATTTATATAACCCCAATTTTCCCTAGCTGGTTTTGGGGGTTATATAAGACAGAAGACAGTATGTTCATAATGCCTTGCGATTCTGGCAAAAGGGACAACAGGTGTGTAAATGTAAAGTGTTACTTTGGAAAGGAGTGGTTATAATATATGCATTGTATATGGTTATCCCTTGTAATTTAAAGTACAAACATTGCTGTATATTTGGGGTAGGTAAAAAGTTACAAAGAGATGCAGGTTCATGAGGTAAAGCTATGAGAGATGATAACAAAAGAGGAGAGTATCAGAGAGTTGGCAGGCTTCGGGCATATATTAACTGTATGCTTAATGAATAGAACTTTCAAAGGCCCCAGACCCCTTCTCAGCTCTGTAAACCATTTATGTACTAAGTTTCTGCTTAACTGCTCTGTCACTTTAAAACCAGTTGGAGAGAGAAGGATTTGACTGACAGTTCACCCTTTATTTTCCTGCATTCATTCAAATTAAAGGAGCTAGACTGAGAGTGGGAGAGCAAATTACAGGAAGACAGGTTCCCAAAAACAAGCAACTGAAGGCCAAGATTCCTTTGGGAGGTTTTAAACTGGAGAATGATATACAACCCCACCCATATTCACATGTACATGTTGTTCGTTTTAGTGTTACAGAGTACAGAATGAACAGTAAAATAACAATACAAGTATGATATTTGGGATGGGACATAAAATTCCTTGTGTCCCTGTGGGGTCGCCCCCAAGCCAATCCTCTGAATCAGTCAGGGGACAGAGCCTGATGCCTAGCTGAGCACTGGGATTGGGCATGGGAAGCTCTAGATGCCAGCTGAGGTCTTGGAGCTGCCCCCACCAAGTACTGTATGGGCACATCCTCACATGCAGGGGCATATGCCTGCAGCAGCAAAAATAGGAGTGGCACAAATTTGTGCTGCAGTGCATGCCACTGCAGGTGCATTTTGGTGTGGGGAAAATTGACCCACTTCAGGGAAACTGCCTGTTCCCCTCCCTCCTAGCTACCAGCATGCTGGAGGAGATAAGGGACAACTAAAGAAGTGTAGACACTCTGGCCGGCAGCCAAAGCATCTCCTTGGAGGACCAAGATTCTATGTCTTCCAGCACATGCTCCTCTTGTGTGCACTGCACCACTTTTTTAATGCTTTTTTGTTTTGTTTTGTTTTTGCTACTGGGGTTTCTTGGTAGCAAAATTTGCCCCTGACCTCCAGATTTGCACAGCAGGGCACATTTTAACATTCCAGGTATGCAGTTTGTTGTGCCACAAAGAGGTTTGCAGCACCACAAACCACACGTCTGCACGTCTGGATGTGGCTTCTGGGGCTGGATGAATTTGGTAGCCTTGTTCTACATTATATGTAGAACATCTTTGTGGTTGGGTTGACACCTCAAATTGACTGAATGGCACCTCATATTGGCTGAATGTATGGCAAGTTGTAGTTTATGGCACAATTAACATGTTAATCAGGCCATAAACAATGTCTGCCAGAGGCCTAAAATGCCACCCTACTTTACCCTTTGT